TACAATTCCTGCAGCACTCAGCAATTCTGCTGTGTTTTCAGCACTGTAACACTGAAACAATATTTTGTTACGAAGGTTAAAAATCCCCAAAGTGGAATTTACAATGTGAAAGTAATAGGAAAAGAGAGATGGTAAGATGACTGCTCGGGCCCTTTGAGGGAACTGGATCACAGGACTTTTAGATTCAAGGGTAAGTGGGGACATTATTCTGTCTTGGAATACAAAAACATTGTTTTTATGGGAGGAAAAAGAAAGCTTGCTGGCAAAATGTGTCTGCCACGCTTAAAGGCAGTCCTTTACTTTGCTAAACGGATGCATTTTCATGCTTTGTGAATGTGAAGCTAGGCAAGTAAAAAGATGGTCAAGGAAAGGCAGGCTTATTTCTGGAGCACATTACACGCAGCTGTTTGTACCCTCCCAGCTAAGACAGTACTTCTTTAACTGGAAGGAAAAACGTCATAGCACAGCTAACTGACTCTGCTACTGAAGTCTGTGCCAAAGCAGTCAGGGTGGTGCTACTTGTGGGGCTGCGTTTCCACTTTCTCATGGATCCATCCAGAGTGACTCTGATTTAAATAAAGACCATTGGGAAAGAAGGCCTATTCCCTCAGCCTGTGCTTTACCCAAACCTCCTGCTGAAGGCACTGAACTCTTGAAAAAGGTGAAGGACACAGGATGGTGGGGTGTGAAAGGGTCTGCCAAGGGTGTGTTTACACTTGGAAACAGGCCAGGGATGTTCATGTGTGAATATGAGCTCCTTCCTCGTCTGCTTCATCCACCTTTACAAAGGCAGATAAATCCAAGTGTTTCCTGAACTGTAGAGCTCTAGTTTAAAACAAACAAACAGAAGTACTGGAGAGTTCCAAGTTGGCATCTGTCTCCATTTATCTGAGTTACTCGGGTCCTTGTGGGAGCTGCACGTCACGGCTGATGTCCGCTGCAGACCTGTCTCTTCCCCACTTGAGCAGCTGCGGTGTGTCAGCCTCATGTTCTGTTTTATGCTGAATCCTGAAAGCTATTGGTTCAGAAAACTTTCAGAATTTGTTGTAATGGCTTTCCAATGTGCAAAAAATTTCCCTGAAACTTTTGGCTAACGCTGTTTTCAGGATGGCTGGGACAGTAGAGCAGATCACTTAGGGAAACACTGAACTATGAAAAGAAAAACCCTGAGTTATGCTGGTGATGTTCTTTAATCATGACTTCTTGCAAGGACTTCAAACTAGGGAAAACTGTGTGTAATTGCAGATGCTAAAGACACTTGGTGCTTTGATAGCACCTTTCTCAAAGGATTTTTTGTACAGAATGAGTTCCCTTATAATTATAGCCACATGTTTTGTAGATGAGATCACTGAGGTGCAGAGATTCTCCAGACTATGTAGAACTCTGCGGCATGGATAAAACCCAGGTTTCCTGAATAGCAGGTGTGTCTGAAGGTTCCTTCTCTTTGCTTGTTGCAGTGAAAAGTGAGTAAGGCTGAGGGTTGAGCACAGATGGGAGAAATAAACTGCAAGATGCAGCTTTTGTATTTTAAGCTCCCCAAATGCTCTTTATGCTTAAGGGTGTAACTGTTTTCTGACCGAACTTGCAGCAGAGCAACAGAAGCTTGCAGCTGAATAAGGCTAATTTTAAGTCACTCTTCCTTATCTGTGTCATTTGTAGAGTAAGTTTTAGAAGGTGGCATTTTTATTTGATAGAAGAAGCTGTTAAGAGCTGTGTTGTTATCAACTTGCTTGGCCAGAATCAATTCATCATTGTAATCACCTGCCTCAGGACTCCTTTTTGGTTTGCTTTGCCTTTCTGATTAACTAGATGTTTGTTACCTCAGTGCAGCTTTATAACATGCTTGCTGTTGATTTACTGTTACCTGAGGCTAGATAATTACTGCCTGACAGCAGTTCCTGAGCTTTGCCTATAAAAAACCGGTATGGCAGCCAAACCACACATTTGCACACACACACACACACACAAAACAACAACAACAACAAAATAACAGGCAAATGTGCACAGAAATGCATAGGATAGAAACTGCTGTTGGCCCTGCTTAGGGTGGTGTTTAGGACACAGTCTTCTTGAACTGCCACTGTGAGAAAGGAGAAGGCTTACATACACAGTGAGTGTAAAGTAAAAGCCTTTCAACTTCTATAGCCCTGCCAAGACGCACAGCTTGCTGACCAGCTGTTTCTGCTAATGGAAGAAAGCAGAGTGGCTCAATTACGCCGTTTGGGCATGTGTCACAAGTCTGAGGAAAAACTATTAATCCCTGTGGAAGTCCAAGCAAAGTTTCCTTGAATCAAACATTCAAGATTTTCCCTTTTCCTCAATACTGCGGACTGTTCTTACAGATTCCTAGAGGAGGAGGATCAGGAGGACAGGCTGTTACCTTGTACATAGGATGCAAGTGCTAAAGTGCTTCTCCTTGGTTAGATTTGCTTTCACAAAAGCATTAGCAGGGAGTTGCAGCAGCTGCTTTTGGTGAGCACGGCTGTAAACACAGCTTTGCAAGGTTAGGCTGATAAAGAATGGAGTATTTTCTTCTTTACTTTTTGCCTCGCTCTTCTGTTACTAATAAACCTACAGTTCTTTCTTGTTTATCATCATTTCAGTTCCAGTGGGCTCTTTTTAGTCTAAACCAGAGAATTCCTTGGGACTAGACAGATGTCTGCCTCTAATCAAAGCAGGACGCTGGAATGAGGTTTGCCATCCAGCAAGCCTGCCACTACATACTGAGCACTGAGACTTGGGGCTCATACACCAAATTAACTGACTCAGGATCAAAGCAATCCCATCCTGAGCAACAAATGCTAGCCAGCACTAAGCACGTTGATAGCTGCTTTGCACAGGGTAAACTGCTTTATAAATATGCATTTAATTTATTCTAGAGTGGTCGATTCACTTGCTTTTGTGTAGCACAGCTCACTTCTCATAGTTTGCAAAGAATTGAGTGAAACAAGTTGTAAGCCAGATAATTGGTCTTATTTTTCTATAGACTTCAGAAAAATGCATATTCAGATTTTCTGAAAGGTTTCTAGGCATAAACTTAGAGAAAACAGGTGCGTTAGCATCTCTGATTTTTCATTTCCACTAGAAGTTTGCATCACTGAAATCTGTTTCAATTCTGTGTATCTAGGGTTTCAGCATGCTCCACGTTGCACCCAGGCTTATGCAGAATGCTGTAATAATTTTGGGGAGCTAGAGAAACAGAGGGAACATGGAACACGAAGAGATTTTTGTATGCAGAGTGACACAAACACATCCGTTACACCATGTATGCTATGCCAGTGGTCATTTATATTTTCTAAAAGGAAAGTAGCTGGTCAGTACATAGCACTGCATGTGAGCTAGCATCCTGGGCTTCCCATCATACTCTGCACAGCTCTGCAGTATGCTGCACCTTGTGTGGCCTGAGATAGCTAGCTGAGGTATCTCTGCACAGGACTGTGCTATTATATGCACACCAGCAGTAAAATGCAAACTCTCCTTTGAGTCAGCTGACTGTTTGCTGGCTGTCTGGTGACTGCTTTGGTGGGTGTCTAAATACTAATGCGGATAGATAAACCACACTGCCCTGAGAAAGGTTTAACTGTATCTAGCCTACAGAGAGAGGATGAGAGAGATGTGGATTTTCTTGGGTAATAATTGCTCCAACAAAGACGTCGCTTGCAGAAAGTGCAGTTTGCTCATCTTATTCTCCTGCATGTCCTACACAGCATAACTGTAGAAAAGCTGAGCAAACAAAACTCTCCTCTAACTTGATTTGGAATGATTCCACAGATTTTTTGCTCTTGCACAGGAGAAGGAAAACAGTCCATTTATTTTTATTAATGAAAATGAAATTACAACAAGGAAATAAAAGCTTTAGAAGAACTCTTCCAAGTGCCTGACAGACCAAGTTTAGGGGCTAAAAACAAACACAACAACCCAAAACAGACTGTCTTGCCAATATAAATCAGGAGTTGAAAATCTGAACTAGTCAACAAGCTGCTGACAGAGACATCCTCAGCTCATCTAACCTTAAGCTCTGTAGGTAAAGAAGATGCTAATTGCCAGAGCTGCTGAGGTGGAAATGGAGGGCCAGTAGGACAACTTCTTTTTGGCTGGAAGGAGCCTGGAAGGTTCCTCATACAGATTCCTCTGCTTCCTCATACAGACACACCTTCTCTAACACTTTCAGCCACCTACGCCCTGTTGCCACCTATGTAGGTGGCACTGTGTACCAATTTACCTGCAAAGGTAAAATGAGGTAAATACAGGAGATGAGGAGAGAGTGAGATGGACAACAAGCACAAGGAAGGGGCTCAAGTACTGGAAGGTCTTTCCTATGCTCACTGAAGCCTTTGGAGCTTTCTGCTGTTCCAGTAATAGCTGTACTGTGTAGCTGCTGCAGCTCCCACTTTTAGTCGAGAAATCTGCATTTTAGCTACAGATAAGCATCAAATTAATTTCTATAAACTTCAGGCTCATTACTAAAACATCTCTTGTTAACATCCTCACGCTCCTTCTCTCTTCCAAGTATCTCGTCTCAGTAATCATTGCTCTATCTTTGAAGTTTAGGTCCACTGGGACTTCTCCAGCAAGGCAGTACATCATATTTAATTAAATAAAAATTACTGGGGCAGATGATGTTACTGTTCATTAACTTGTGGGAGAGTTAGTCTCATTGCAGCAGCTCTCCTCTGAGTAGATAATGCAAGAGTGCCATATGCCAGATGTGCTTCAGGCTCCTTAGAGAGAGCCTGTAAGGACATAGGATAACACACTTTCCTCACCTTCAGCAGCTGCATGCTTTACTGACTTATGAAATAAGCAAGCCATTAAGAGCTGGGCCTTTTCCTCCCATAGCAGTAAAGTTACAAGCAGGGAGTAGGTAAGTAGTTCAATTTATTTATTTATCCTTCCAATGTCTTAAGTCCGTAGCCTAATCACTGTACAGTAACTACATCACTGGCAATCAGCACAAGCAATGCACCTTGGAGCTATGACATGAAAGTAAATGCACTCACCTTGTTAGTCAGAGGTGGACCGTCAAGGCATCTCTGCGTGGAAGGTGGCACTTGGTAGATATCTTGCCCTGCTACACCGTGTCCAGTGGGTATTTGGTAAATTCCCTGATTCATATGGGAGGGAGGCACCTGGTAGACAGGGTCCCGGGCTGAGGCATGTGAGCTTGGCACTTGATAGATCTTCTGTTGGTTGAAGGATTGATGTGTCAGTCCTGAATTGGACATATCTTGGCTGGAAGGACTGTCCTGTACCACTGGACCTATCAAAAGCTTCACGCGGTTGCCTGGGACAATGCCTTGCCGGCCATGCAGGGAGCACAGCCACCATCCTTCGAGGCCTTCAGTGTTCTGCTCTATCACGGTCAAAATGTCTCCCTTGCGGAAGGCCAACTCTTCTGCACATTCGGGGACATTATCATAGAGAGCTCTTGCCATAAGATTCTGTGGAAAAAGACGGAGAAGAAAAACAAATGAACAAACATAGCAGACACTCTCCAAAACTTCAAGCACGTTCCAGGTAGAGAGAAGAAAAGAACTGAATTTGACAAAGAAGCGTGCAGGAAACCAAAATAACAAAGAACATGATGCAACTTAACACAGGATTCCTCTTTCCAAAGTTGGACAAGTGAGATGCTGATGTATTAGCAACTCTGCCAATTACAATCCAGTAATACAGTGTCCAGTGGAAGCTCTTCGAATGGTTTCTTTCTTGATTCTGTCCTTTCCAGCAGAGCACTGCTCTCAGCTCTGAGTGTTCTTGTTACTTGGGGCTTGCAGCCTCACTTCCCTCCATGGATTTCCCTATTAATGTGTATGATCCATGTATTGCTACAGCTAGCTAGTTGATATTTTAAGTCCAACTTGAGCGAGACTCCAAGTGATACAAACTGTGGATCACATGATGAGGGGAAAAAACAGCCTAAAATACAACAGAATCTACATCCACTTGAGGTCTGTGAGGTTCAGATGTCTTACTGAGAAGCGCCATGTCTTCTCATGGATTGAACTGGCTCCTTTCCACTCTTGCTGCAGGCCTGTATGGTGTGTTTCAGTTCCAAATTATTAGCCAAGCTTAGGTATTCAGTGGAAAGTAGGCAGGCAGTACATGCTGACATTCTTGGATTCCTCACAAAGGCTGCGAACATTTCATTTCTTGGCTCTGGTGATGTTTCCAAATGTCTTGGCAGGAACTGTTCTATGCCTGCCTGCTTTTTGGTGAAGGCAGTCAGCAGAGACAGTTATAAACTAATTGTAAGCACCTGAAAAAACACAGGGAGCCCCATATCTGGAGCGTTCCAGCTAAAGTATTTGGATGCAAGACACAAACCGAAATGGTGCTAATCCACTGTAAGATAGGATATGCAGCTGTCTTGAAAGTTTATCTATCATAGGGACAGTGGCAAGTACAGGTCAGTGTTTTATCTATCATATTTATCCTCCCTCTTGGACATAGCACTTTTATTTTCTTCTCCACTTGTTACATCTTTTCCTGTTGTTAAAAAATAGTTTAGTGATTCCCCATCCTTTCTGTGCTTCATCCATTTGACCATGCTCAGTTCAGTGTTTCTTAAGTGTAGCATACACTTAAGCATACAACCAGGAGGCTGGACGATGGGGTGATTGGTGGGTGAAGAAAGAGAAGTTTGAGTATCACATAAAAGGTAGATGAGTATGTTTTTCTCAAGACGTGGTATTGAAATAGGGTGTATGAGATCAGTTTTTTCTTCTCTGACTGGGAGATCAGCTTTCAAACATATGAGAAACATTGGCTTTGCCTTTCATCAGCATCATTAAGGAGGTCAGTACAAATTAAGCTCTGGACTCTGGCAGGACTGCTGTTTTGAGCTCAGCACTACGAGCCACAATTCTGAATGAAGTCTGCTCCATTCATCAATCAACAACACTGAGAAATACGCATAGAGAAAAAAAGCACAAAGCAATTTTGCCCATGCCTTGGCAGAACTTCCTTAGCATGGTTCAAGACAGTCGTCCCACTCTTGCTCTCTTGCTGGGCTGAATTTGCTGCTCAGCTGAGCTTTTCAATACAGAAAATCTCCTGTCTGGTCTGGATATTCAAGTTAATCTCTCATCTTCCTACATTTCTTTTGAATGCATCTTTCACACAAGAAAGCTACTAAGATGACTGGCTGTGTAACTGACCACTTAAACAGGGCTTTTGCAGAGAATGGTGTTTAAAGGAGAATGAAAAACACAGCAGGTCCACAAAATGAGCAGGCTACACTTACGATAAATGCTTATTCTCCTATACTTTGTTGGTTTAGGGTATTAAAAAAGCCCGATTAGCTTCTACATCACAGCAGTTGTCAGAACAAAGAATGGGACGGTGGTACAATAAGAGCAGATGAAAGTTCCCATGTGAATTTTTTTTTCCAGTTGCTCATTATCTCTGTCCCAGTGACCTTCTGACCACCTGGCGTACAGCATGTTAATACTTTCTGGATGCGTTTCAAGAACTTTGCTGCAAATAGCTTCAGATTCTTGTTGTCAGAGTTAACTTGGGCACCAGCATGTGAATTATACTAATTGGTTGCTGCTTGTTTCACAGCAATTTTCCCAAAGTCTTTTGAATGGTCATGTCACCAGCATCAGTCACTGATGGAGCAGTAAAGTAGGCTAAATATTTCTCCATGTAAGCACTGGGACCAAAAACAACACTGCTTCCTTGCCAATTACACCGTGCTCGTGCTAAGCAAACCTCCTGTGCTGAGTACTTCCCTGACTCTATTCTTCCTTCACACGATTTCTCAATACAAGCTGCAGAAACAGTGTCACAAATGTTCTCATTAGTCAGCATAGTTGGCCTTCAGGAGTAAAAAAGCAACACAAAACAGTCACCACAGAAAGTCATCAGGAAAGCTTCTGAAAACCACAAAGCTAACGTTAACCTGCTGTGGCAATCGAGCTGGTGGTCTCTGCTTCTCTACATGCAGAAAGAAGTTTCAATCAAAGACTCTCCTCAACGCTTGCAGGCTTTATCTGCCCACTGATTTGACAGGCTTGACTAACCTTGGGATACTGCAGGCATCTGGTCACATCTCACAGCATACCATTTGGCTCAGACACTGCAGAGGGTGTCTTAGTTTCAGCTGGAACTGAATCGTTTCCTTCACAGTGTCTGCTATGACGCTACATTTTTGGTTCTCAGAGAAAAATAATGTTGATAGCATTGATAGCACACTGATGTTTATAGTTTCTACAAAGCAGTACTGTACAGAGCCAAGGCCTTTCTCAGCAAATGGCCCAAGGAGCTGAAAGGTTAAAGGATTAGGACAGCTGACTTGAACTGGCCAAAGAGACAATCCATGCCATCTGACATCATGCAAAAGGAGTTCTGAAGGGGGTGGGAGCTCATCTTCTCTCTTCTACTGCTAGGGGAGTTAGCTGGGCACTGGTCAGGGGGTGGTAAGCAATTGCTTGTGCATCACTTGTTATATGCATTCATATATATATATACACACATATATAGTCATGTCTATTATGCTTTTCCCTTTCTCTGTCTTAGTGAATAGTTACAAATATCTGGAATTATCTGGACTTGCCCTTAGAGGCCTGGTTCTATTGCTCATTTATCTGTGAAGCACCAAATAAGTACTAACATGTAAGATGACAAGGCAATGGCACAGCAGAGATCTTTTTTGCACGACCAAGTGCTAAAAGCCCTCAGCCATTTCCTAAAGAAACTGGTAACAGAGAAAGGGCTGATGAGAATCTTGTCCTGGAGCTTGTTTATGCAAATGTAAAATTGCACAAAACTCCTTTTATATTTTCAATATAAAAAGAAAAAGGAAAAAAAGAAAAAGAAAAAAAAGAAGGATGTCAGATTCAGAGCTCCAGATTCAAGTTCTGTCATTTCAAGGGAGAAACAATCTGATCTTAGGTAAGGATAACCTAGGCTGTGCCACAGAAATCAGCCAAGCTTCATAAAATGAACTGAAGAGCTGTTACAGCCTTCTTCGAGGAAGATGAAGGATGGTCCACCTAATGAAATGCTGTATGCAGTTGTGCTCTCTTTGAAAACTGAAAGCACCTGTGGTCTAAATACAGTTTTGTTCCCCTGAGCCTTGTGTCACAGAAGCCACTCTTCAGTTCAATGACAGCTTTGACTTTCTTTGACTGGAAAGATTCAGTTTGACTTTTGAATCCTCGTGTCTTGTTAGTAATACTGCAATGTTTGAAAGCCTAACACAAGGTCAAGCTCCCTCTGTGTTAACATTCTGTACAGACAAAACAGACACACAAAAATTCAACCTAATTTTTTTAATTCTATCCCTAGGTCCATTAGTTGGACCTAAAACCAATATGAACCTACAGATCTATTAGATGAGCCCTGGAAAGGATCCTCTCTCCCAAACTTACAGGAATCAATGGCTGTCATCCCCGCAGCTGAATATAAACACATGAAAATACCCTGAAGAATACGATCTGCTTTGGCTAGCCTTCCCTGCAGCCAAGGGGACTGACAGAACTCTGTTCTTTGTGGTCTGAAGGATGAAAAAGCTGCTTGTTAATGAGGCTGAGCGGCAGAAGAGGGAACGGCTAAAGAGAGCAGTGGAAACATCTACACTTTCTCTTAGAGTAAACACAGCCAGTGACGTGGGTAACAAGAACGTGTGAGGTGCACGCAGCCGTGGAAGTAAACACGGGGATAATAAATGACACACCATGAGATTAAACACAATGGTCTCCTTAAGCCTGAGGGCTGCGGTGCCAAGCTCCTCGCACAGGGCTGCCTCAGCCAGCACTGCCATCAATGAGTGCTCATTCATGGGAAAGGTTCGACCGACCGTGAGCTCAAAGAAGTTCAGTCGCTCCCCTCAGAGGTGCAATCTGAGGACGTTCCATACAGGGTTGTGTGTTCTGACTTCTATTCTGGTGGTTGGTTTTGGTTTTTTTTTACTTTTTCTTTAAGTATTGCTTCTTAGGCATAGAGTTTATGTGAAAATAGAACCAGGGAAGTCATCTTTTCTCTTATCTGAAAAGAGGTGGGACCCCTTATCTCTATTTTTGGACAAACAGCTTCTTAAAATTCCAAATGGCATCTCTTCTACGTTAAGATAGCTTAGGAAAAGGAAGGAAGAGAGCAACAAAAGAAGGAAAGCTGGGAGAGACACCCTGAAGGAGCGGCTATGCACAAACCAGTATCTTTGTCTCGGCTGAATCACTCTGAATTCACCATCACAGAGTATTTTTGTACAGATTCTTGTCTCCTTTTGGTTTTCATTATCCCTTGCTTCTGCTTTAGGTTTCTTTAAAGCAGATCATAGCTATTAAAGCATTTATATATCCTTCTATGGTTGCAGGCCTAACAGTAATGATTTGCCCTTGAGAAGGAATGCTCTAAACATCCAATAAAGAGCTACATTCTGAGAGAAACCGCTTGACTACAAGCAGTATTGGTGGAAGAGGGTGAAGTTCATGCT